CAAGATTTAACCTTTTCTAGTTGCCATTCAACAGCTTTCACTTAAGCTGTTTAGGGGAGAACAAAGACATTTATGGAGGCATCTGATGGAAGGACATTTGCCTGGGGTGACATTTGGAGAAGGAGTTTAATTGAGTAGCTATGAATTGCCCCTCAAAGGGAATGTTTCCTTTCATTGACTAGAGAGCCAGGTGGCAATGCCTTCTCATGCTGCATGATTTCCCAGTCCACATAGCAGTCAAGGGCTGTCATTTTTCCCCCAGGCCTCAGCCATACTTGAGAAAGCCTCCAAAAGAAGAAGCCAGAGAGGGCAAGGAGATGGACTGCACACAGAAGTGGCCCAGGAATGGCTGAAGTATTCACCTGGTTCTCCATGTAAAGGGGTCTTGTATTGGCCAACAAATATAGTTATACCTAAGCATGTCATGTGGAGCAGTCCTGGGCTCCCCTTCAAAGTTGAATTAAGAACCAGAGGCCAACCTGCATGGATGGCACCCAAGGAAACGCCCAAGCAGCAGGAGAAATTGCCAAGCACAGCCTGATGTACATTGTCTTTGAGATGGCTCGCTAATCCTGCACCCACTGAGCCACAGACCAGGCCTGGCCCAAAAATCCTGGAGAAAGAAGATGAAGCTAAACCAGACACAAGTCGGGATCCTCTGTTGTTGTATTTGGACAGCATGTACATTTGGGAGAGCTGCTGCTGGCCCTACATGAGAGCTGCTCCTCTGCCTTCGCCATGTACTACATCTTTAGTGTGTGCCCTGGGTGGTGCGGAGGGGGAGAGGGAGACTTTATCCGCTCCTAGAGTCTGACCAAGGGACTGGAAAGGAAATGTCAAAGGAACAGTCAACACCGAATCATGGGAAGCTCCCCCAGATTAGGAAGAAAAGACTGGTCTCCTTCCAGTGTTTCTTCCACTGGTGGGAGGCTCTACAGAGGGACCTGGCCAGACTGGATCCATGGGCCAAGGCCAATGGGATGAGGTTCAATCATGCCAAGGGACAGGTCCTGCCCTTGGGTCACAACCACCCCCTGCAGCACTCCAGGCTGGGGCAGAGGGGCTGGAAAGTGCCCCAGGGAAAGGACCTGGGGGGTTGGTGGACAGGCAGCTGGAGATGAGGCAGCGTGTGCCCAGGGGGCCAAGAAGGCCACCAGCATCCTGGCTTGTGGGGCCAGCAGGAGCAGGGCAGGGATCGTCCCCCTGCACTGGGCACTGGGGAGGCTGCCCCTGGAATCCTGGGGTCAGTTTTGGGCCCCTCCCTCCCAGAAGGACCTGGAGGGGCTGGAGCACGGCCAGAGAAGGGCAACAAAGCTGCTGGGGAAGGGTTTAAAGGCCAAGTGTGGTGAGGAGCAGCTGAGGGACCTCGGGGTGCTGAGCCTGGAGTAAAGGGGGCTTAGGGGAGACCTTCTGGCTTTCCACAGCTCCCTGACAGGAGGCTGGAGCCAGGTAGGGGTCAGGCTCTTCTCCCAAGAAGGAACAAGGGACAGGACAAGAGGAAACAGCTTCAGGTTGCCGCAGGGTAGGCTGAGGTCATCCCTGAGGAACAATTTCTTGCCCTTGAGGGTTGTCCAGGTGTGTCCCAGGCTGCCCAGTGATGTGGTGGAGTCCCCATCCCTGGAGGGGTTTCCAAGCCATGGAGATGTGGTGCTGAGGGACATGGGTCAGTGGGGACCTGGCACTGCTGGGGGAAGGGTTGGACACCATGATCTCAAAGGTCTTTTCCAACAAAAATGATTCTATGCCTCGGTGATTCTAAATCTCTTGTGCAATCTCCATCTGCTGTGAACTGCAGCGTGCAACAGAGGGATTCAAAGCTGTTGAGATGCTCTCTTGGGAAAATAATGTGTGGGTGTCCGAGCTCAAGGCAAGAAAACATCACAGAGAGCATCTCTGGGGAGAATCTCTGGGTGGGGAGCTGGGCAGCACACTCAAATATGTTCAGTATCAGCACTGGCTTTGCCTGTTGATTTATTGCAGGAGTTTTGCACTTCCCACTAAGGATGACATCAAGAAAGGGGAAGATCTTGTTATACCTTCAAACTGCAAGTAAGTTATTGATGCTATTCTGTTAATATGCTAATATTTTTCAGACTAATTAAGTGTTTCATTTTGATTTATGTTTCTCTCATGGGGTCTAGGATGGAAAAATATGATTGTAAAACATGTCAACAGGCTCCAAAGAATGAGAATTTGATCTACTATGTCTGAAAACGACTTCAAATCAATGCTAATTTTAAGGACATTAGATGCTGGCAATTTTAATTCAATACAATCCATTATCTTGGTTTTTTTTAATAGCGTGGCTTTGTTTATACAAATTACATCCTCGAAGCTTGCCAGTTTGGAAAAATTAATAAGAAGACAGAGAAATGGAGGAGGGTATATTAGATGAGAAGAAGAGAGGAAAGGCAATATCAATTGTATTTAAATCTCAGTGGGGCACAAAATCTACTTATTCAGAATATTAAATGGATCTCTCCTACATGGTTATGGAGATGACTTTCTGGGTGAAAGGTAAAACTATATGAAAATTACCAGAGATTTAATAATGTTAGGAAATTGCATAAGATCAACCATTACTCTCCTCTACTTGTGGCCAAGCACAAAACATTTCCGAGAGAGTTGTATCTCCCCTCCCTTAAAGTGGGATAAGAAAACCAAGAGATGGCATAAAAACTTAATTAAGCTTCATTCTTCCTCTTTTTTAAGCATAAACCTAATGAAAACAAGGGTAGGCTTTCTTCTGAACATTATCTGATTTGATTTACCCAATATTAGAGAAAATTATTCAATTCCAAAGGACTTTGTGCCTATGACTATGTGATCTTCAAGCACAGCAGCTTGAAGAGATGCTGGAAGTTTCTAAAATGCTGCTTTCTTTTGCTGCAGCAAACATATTCCAGAGGGTTTGGGCAGAATAGTCCTTTCCAATCTGTGTGAAATCTTTATGAGCAACAAAGGAAGTATTTCTACGGAGAGGAGAGAAAATCTTTTTAACTCAGGAATCTTAAAAGCTCATCGTGTAAAACAAATGGATAACTCCAGCCTGCTTTGGACTTTGAAAACCCTGAAGTATCACATTTCTATGAATAATGCAATTGTAGAGCTACATTATTTAGAATAAAGACATGTACTGGCTGCAAGTTGTCACACATCGTGTCCTCCTCCAAGTGAGCTGAAGCTGCTGATGGATACTTAGTCCTAGTTTTTTATTCCAGTGTCTTTGAACTTCATAAAACTCTAAAGTATTTCTTCCTATGGGAAAAAAAAAAAAAAAAAAAAAAAAAGATGCTGACCTACATACCTACATCAGCCAAAAAAATTAGCATGGAAATTCGTTTGCTTTTATGTACCAGCAAATGACCTCGAAGCAAAAGAAACCGGACATTTTCACCTGGATTTCAGCAACAGCAGCAGAAATCAACTGCGTGCTGCAAGAACCGTGGGGAACACAGTGAGCTGGAAGTAGCCAACCAGAGGTTGACATGGGCATGAAAAGGGTGATGAAAATGACTGTGGGTAGCAAAGATTGCAATAGAGAGATGGATGATTGATGGAGTGACTGCTTCTGAGCTAGTGTCCTGCATTCCGTTTGAGAAGAATCATAGAACCGTAGAATGGTTTGGGTTGGAAGGAACCTTAAAGATCATCTAGTTCCAAGCTCCCTGCTATGGGCAGGGACACTTCCAACTAGACCAAGTTGCTTAAAGCCCCATCCACTCTGGTCTTGAACACCTCCAGGGATGGAGCAGCCACAGCCTCCCTAGGCAACCTGGGCCAGTGTCTCACCCCCTCACAGTGATGAAATTCTTCCTAACTTCTAATCTAAATCTCCCCTCTCCCAGTTTGAAGCCATCACCCCTCATCCTATCATTACAAGCCTTTGTAAAAAGTCCCTCCCCAGCTTTCTTGTAGGACTCCTTCAGATACTGGGAGGCCACATGAAGGTCTCCCTGGAGCCTTCTCTTCTCCAGGCTGAACAACCCCAATTCTCTCAGTCTGGCCTCACAGCAGCGGGGATCCAGCCTTTGGATCACTTCTGTGGCATGCTCTGGACCTGCTCCAAGAGGTCCATGACCTTCTTGTGTTGGGGGCTCCAGAGCTGGACACAGTACTCCAGGTCTGGTCTCATCAGAGCAGAACAGAGGGACAGAATCCCCTCCTTTGACCTGTCGCCCACACTGCTTTGGATGCAACCCAGGGTATGGTTGGGGCTTTCTGGGCTTCACTCACACATTGTTGGCTCATGTTGAGCTTTTCATCGACCAGCACCCCCAAGTCTTTCTCCATATGGAAATGGGTATTTCCATAATGCTGCTCATCTCCTCAGTGCATAACAGGGCAGAGGAGCTTCATCTCCCAAACATCCTTTTTCCCCACAGACCAGAAAAGGAACCCAGGAGGACCCCATGCAGATGGGGTAGGGGGAGGCTCTGCATGGAAAGCACCCAAGCTAGGTGAGACAAATCCTTGCCTGTTGTGCCCAAAGGTGAAGAGCATGTCATGTGTAGACATAATCCACATCATCAACAGAGAATCCACATCATCTTAATTGTGGGGTGGAGAGAAGAGGGACCAAGATGCGTCATGCAACGTGCTCAGCTCAGCAGGATTTCATCCAATGTGTCTTTTCCTTGCAGAACCTCTGCAAAGCTCCTTAGAGAAAAGTCTTCCTGTGCATCAGCCCGTTTCCTTACTCCATCTTCAGAGAATCACAGAATGGTTTGGGTTGGAAGGAACCTTTTAAGATCACCTAGTCCAACCCCCCTGCAGGGAGCAGGGACATCTGCAACTAGAGCAGGTTGCTCAGAGCCCCAGCCAACCTCCCCTGGAATGGTTCCAGGGATGGGGCAGCGACCACCTCTTGGTGAAACCTGGGCCAGGGGCTCACCACCCTCAGCACCAAAAATTTCTTCCTTTTATTTAATTTCCTTTTATATATCTTTATATAACCTTATATATATTTCATCCTTGCAGGCGTTTTGACCAGTCCCACCATGGAAAGCTGCAGTAGCAACGCTTCCACTAAAGTCTTTTTCTTGGTGGGGTTTCCAGCTCTCCAGGATTTCCAGACCCCTCTCTTTGTTGTGTTCTTGCTGTTCTACCTGCTGATCCTGGTTGGCAACACTGTTATCATCACCGTGATTGTGGTCAACTGCACACTCCCATGTACTTTTTCCTGATCAAACTCTCTGTGTTAGACGTGCTATACTCACAACCACCACCATTCCCAAAATGCTGGCTATGTTCCTGGTCAGCGCCAAAACCATCTCGTTTTGGGGCTGTTTCCTGCAGATACACAGTTTTCATAGGCTGAGAGTAACCGAGGCACTTCTCCTGGTGGTCATGGCTTACGACCGCTATGAAGCTATCTGCAACCCTCTCCATTACCCATCCAAGATGACCAGAAGAGTGAAGACCCAGCTGGCAGTGAGCGCCTGGATTGCTGCGCTGCTAATTCCTGTGCCCTCATTGCACAGACCTCCCAGTTAGCTTACAGGGAGATGACCAGGGTCCACCACTGCTTTTGTGACCACCTCTCAGTGGTCAAAGCTGCATGCTTGGACTTCAGTGCCTATTTCCAGACCTTCTTGGGGTTCTCCATCGCTATGACAGTGTCAGTTGCTCATGACCCTCTCCTGCGTCTACGTCATCCTCTCCATACGGAAGTTCAACTCCAAGGACGGACGTCTGAAAGCTTTTTCAACATGTACTTCTCACCTGCTTGTGGTGGGCACTTACTACTCCTCCATCAATGTGGCATACATCTCCCACAGAGTGGACATCCTCATCGACATCCACGTCATGAGCAACATCGTCTTCTCAATTTTGACTCCCTTGTTAAAACCCATCATTTACACTTGATGGAACAAGGAAGTAAAATCTTGGTTAAAAAGTCTGTTTTCCTGAAAATCATGAACCTTTCTAAAAAATTCTGTTTATTCAGGTAAAATTTACAGCAGTGCGACAGCCACGTGCTATTTATTATTTCAACCCTCTGGTTAATTAAGACATCATCATGTTCAGAGTCCTGTTTGGTTCCCCTGAACTGTGGCACATCCTCTGCTAACGTATTTCAACCTACTTCTGGGACATTTTTAGTAGACTTGCTGTAATATTTATAATTTTCTAGTTTTGTTTCTATCCTGCAGTGAATAAACCACTGATGCACTAAATCAAGCTGTGAGTGCACCAAATAAAGCTGTGGATGCACTAAATAAAGCTGAAAATGCACTAAACAAAGCTGAAAATGAACTAAATAAAGCTGAAAATGAACTACATAAAGCTGAACCGGAGCAGTACCACATTTCTTTATAATTTCCCCTCCACATTACACTGTTGAGGACACATTGTAATTCCTCCATTTAAGACTTTCCAGGGTGGCAGTCATTGTTTTTTTTCCTACAAATAACTCTGGATTGTTCATCCTGGGTGAGGAAACTACGAGATCACTTTACAGAACCACAGGACTGTGGGAAAAATTAAAGATACATTAAAAATACAGTCTGTGGAGCTGGATGAAATGGTGTCTGTGTCCAGTATGGTGCCATCAACCATCTTGTATATCCAACAGCCTGACTCACAGATTCCCTCACTAGGAAAGATCTTTTAAAATCTTCAGGTCCAACTGTTCCCCAGCACTGCCGGGTCCCCACTGACCCTTGTCCTTCAGCACCACATCTCCATGGCTTGGAAGCCCTTCCAGGGATGGGGACTCCACCACTGCCCTGGGCAGCCTGGCACAGCCCTGCACAACCCTCCAGGGCAACAAATTCTTCCTCAGGGCCAACCTCAACCTCCCCTGGGGCAACCTGAGGCCCTTTCCTCTTGTCCTGTCCCTTGTTCCTTGGGAGAAGAGCCCGACCCCCACCTGGCTCCAGCCTCCTGTCAGGGAGCTGTGGAGAGCCAGAAGGTCTCCCCTGAGCCTCCTTTGCTCCAGGCTCAGCACCCCCAGTTCCCTCAGCCACTCCTCATGAATCACTGAAGGCACTGATGTGGCATTTTCTTGGCTGCCTGAAAGAGGCCACTACACTCAAGGGTAAGCCTTTGCTCCAAAGGAGGAGGCACCATGGGATCCAGACATGGAACAAAAGATGCCCATGTTTGTCAGCACATGAAAACCCTGTACTGATCCCCTGCTCACAAGAGAGAAGACCTGCACATGTGGTAAGAAAGAGGTTTCCACCAGGGATCTTGCAGATGCACAAACAAGCACACCAAGTTCAGGTGCCTGAAGAGCTTCTGTGGGACCGGGAGGTCTCTGATGAGCTTTGGGGACTTCCAGGATTAGACTTTCTTAGCGAGCGGGTGCCAGGGATCATTAATTTGCCCTTGGTCCCAACTTTTGCAGACTGCAGCCTTTGGGTCCAGGAGAGCCAACATAACATCTCCCTGCAGCACAAAGCTCCATCACTTCCAGTTGGACTGGAGTTTTCAGCTGAAATCCCCTCCTAAGAAAGTGTTCAGCAGCGAAAAATCATTCAAAACCACCACTAAAATGCTCTTTTTATTACTCTCACTGTTGAAAACTTAAGCCTTATTTCCGCTTTGATGTTCCTCATTTCCCACCACAAGCTCTTGTCCCATTTTCCGCTGACACCAGATCCCTGTTCCCCATGCAAATTCAAATTGTCCCTCATGAAAGAAGCGCCCAGAGGCTCTCGCACTCTAATACACATTTTCCAAACGCTGAACCATTCTCACGATTTTTCTCCCAACCCTCTTTATGTTTCAACATTCTTCTTGAGGGGTAAGCATATAAAACTCGACATAATAATCCTGTATTGGCTGCATCAGCATCAAACAGATTCCCTCTACATAACGCTTCCAGCATTCCCCTCCTGATATATATAGGATGGTTTGACTCCTCCACAAGTCATTCTGCAGAGACAAGTGTTCTTGAGAAAAAAAACGCCCTAAACATATGAATTCTTGCTACTTTTTTGACTGTGCAAATGTTTCCAAGTGCCCCGAGGACAGGAAGCAGCCAGCACATCGAGCTGGGAGCTGTGCAGAGCCCAGCACTGTGGAGGTGCTTGGCCCAGAGGGGCATCCCTCGACTCGTCAGGGCCTTTTCCACCCACAGCTTAGGTTGTTGAGCCTGGAGAAGGCTCCAGGGAGACTTTCTTGCAACATTTCACTACTTCAGGGGGGCCTAGAAGAAACCCGGGGGGAGAGGGTACATTTTCACAGGGCCTGTTGGGACAGGACAAAGGGGGATAGTTTGAAATTCCAAAAGGAAGACTGAGATTGGAGTGAAGGAAGAAATTTTTGATGTTGAGAGTGGTGAGCCCCTGGCCCAGGTTGCCCTGAGAGGTGGTCACTGCCCCATCCCTGGAACCATTCCAGGGGAGGTTGGCTGGGGCTCTGAGCAACCTGCTCTAGTTGCAGATGTCCCTGCTCCCTGCAGGGGGGTTGGACTAGGTGACCTTGAAAGGCCCCTTCCCACCCAAACCAGTCTGTGATTCTATGATTTATCTCAGGGATTTATTAATATAAAGCCATTACTGGGACTTCTGCACCCCCCTGCATGTTGCAGTGTTGCTGGGATGTAGCCCTAAGGAGGAGAAGAGCTTCCAACACCTCTCAAGAAGAGGCAGAGCCTGCAACAAAGTGAAGAGCCCTAATCCTGCACCACACCGCCAGCGTGACTATAGAAAATAAAACCCTCCCAAAGGATTTTACACAGTTTTTAAATAGAGTTTTCCCCTTTTACAGTGTGAAGTCATTCTGGAACTAGACTTTTTTACCTGGGTAAAGCTTGATGCTGTTGGCTGCTCCAGAGGAAAGCAAAGATCTCAGTTGGCTCTTAACACAGAATCATAAGTCATAGAATCACAGAAGCATAGAATCATTTTGCTTGGAAAAGACTTCTAAGATCATGGAGTCCAACCGTTCCCCAGCACTGCCAGGGCCCCACTGACCCATGTCCCTCAGCACCACATCTCCACGGCTTGGAAACCCCTCCAGGGATGAGGACTCCACCACTGCCCTGGGCAGCCTGGGACAGCCCTGGGAAGCCCACCTGCATTCAAGGGCAAAGTAAGAGCAGGCAGGTAGAGAGGCTTGCAGCCAGCATTCAGACTAACATTACAGAACAAAACTACCAGGATGGGATGCTGAAGTCTTGTCCACTTCCCTCATTCATCAGATGTGACAATAAAACAATTTTGTCTAACAGCTAGTAACCATTTACAGGTAATATTATTTATCTGCTGCAACATCATTGCACTAATATGCAGAGGGCCACACGGGTGCCTTTTACCAGACTTCGTGTTCACAAAATGCCTTTTCTGCTCCAAACCTTCATTTCTTCAACACGAAATGCATACGAATTATTTATTGAGCAGAAGAACCTGCAGGCTCTGAGCACCAGTTTTCCAGGTGTAGCGGGGTATTTTTGAATCCTGAGATGCAGTTTGCTTATGAATATGAACCCCCAGTTCCTTCCCATACCAAATTTGTACGTCAGCCAGGACATTCGAGCAGCAAATTTCTTCATCTGATACTCACTGCCCTTAAATTACTCCAGTGCTCTTCACTCAGTGCTCTTCACTCTATATCTAAAGGACAGGGGTCAAGAGGCTGGGGCCAGACTCTTGTCAGTGGTGCCCAGCAACAGGACAAGGGGCAATGGGCACCAGATTGATCCCAGGAAGTTCCACCTGACCAGGAGGGAAATATTCTATCCTTTGAGGATGCAAAAGCCCTGGAACAGGCTGCCCAGAGAGTTTGATCAGTGTTGATTAGATCCCCTCTGAGGCTTCTCTTCTCCAGCTCAACAGCCCCAGGGCTCTCAGCCTGTCCTGGCACAGAGATGCTCCAGGCCCCTCAGCAGCTTTGCAGCCTCCACTGGACTCTCTCCAGTAAATCCTTGTCTCTCTGGAACTGGGGATCCTACAACTGGACCCAGTACTGCAGAGGTGACCTCCCTGGGGCAGAGTATAGAGGGAGAAGAACCTTCCTCAACCTGCTGGCCACACTCTTCATGCACCTTACTGATGCAACTCCTGCTTGTGTTTGCTTCTCTTGTCCTTCACTGAACAGCAGAATAATTTCAAGTCTCATTGCTCCTTGTCATAATTCTCTGATGGAGTTGTCCACAAATCTGCCAGCACATTGTGTTAACCACAGGCTGCTGGGATAGATGTTGGACGGTTTCTGCTCCAGGTCTGACTCTCTTGAGTCTTGATTTAATGCTTCCTTACATCCTGGCAATAAATATCAACAACTGTTCTCTCTGTGTCTTCACTTAGTATTCGCCTTACAGTAATCGAATCTAAACTCTACTGCCCCAGTTTGCTTAAATTACACCTAGAAAAAAAGCTTCAGCAACATCAAAATGTCACTGCTGGTGCTTTTCTGTTCAGAAACACAGCCTCCATTTTTTCAGAGGAAATTAGTTTGTTCTGACCCCATTTGATGTTGGATATTACTGACACGGTCGTTTTCAGAAACACCTTGGTTAGAAAAATCATTTTTTTTGCTGTGATTTGTGAATGCTCTTAGAGCTTGCAAGGAGTTCTGTCACTGCTGTTCCTGCTTTCCAAACAGCTGAGATAAAGTGGCATTTTTGTACCTGCGAGTGTGGATTATTTGCAGGAACAGTCCTGCCTCTACCTGTGTACTGCGATTGCATCCCCTGAAAGGAACCCAGAGTGACAGCCAGAGATGCTGCCTCCTGATAAGAACACGATGCATTTAGAGGGAAGAATTACTTATCAGCTCCCATGGAGGAAATATTGTTTTATAAATTGCTATAATTTCATGGAATTTACTGAGAACCTGCCAGGGAAAGA